TGTCCATAATACTGAAGAAAATTACAAACCGGGGATTATTTCCTTTCATTTTGCCGATAACATCATAAAGGACAGTTGGGAATGAACATGCAGACAGTTAGTCACAGGAGGCAGCAACAGTTATTTCAGCTAAGAAAAAAACGAACATCGGCTTTGGATATCTAGAAAACAAGTCAAAACAAAACCGATTTCCTTATTAAAACATAAGACTAACCAGCTTGAATGAAGAAATATACTGACTAGAGTAGAAGCAGCAAAAACCCAAAAAACAATGCTGATTTGAAGTAAGTTTCACACCAACATGTAGAACATTACACTAACTGCGGCATTTTATCAGACCGAAACATTAAATTACATAGCTACACAAAATAAGTAACTGAAAGAAGCAGAGAACGAAGAAAGCCTACCGCCATTACTTACAAAGATGGCGGATGTATCAATTCCCGCCTCATTCTGATTGGTTGCTAGACTGCAGGGCACATTTACGAAATTGAGTTGCGTTTAATTGCAGCCGTTCTTACGCAACAAAAGTACCATTTCTGTCCAAAAGAATCTATCCTGAGCTATACGTTCGGTAGATTATTTTTTGAGTTTCACTCCATTTAATAATTAACTGTGCTTTTTCCTCAGCTTACTATTCGGGTTTTTTCCAGTTTTTCACGTTAAGACTAAGGTTAAGTTTATCTCATCCGTTTTTACCATTTTTGTCCGTTCTCAGTGTGCTTTCTATTGTATTTTTTTACGGTCTTAGTCTTTTGCTAGCATCTACACCGTTTACGTCATTATAGTCATGAAAAATTCATGCAAACGCTTTGGATGCCGTTTTGCTGTTACATCTGGCATGCAGTGCGACAACTGCAAAGGTTGGTTCCACGAAGCATACACAGACCTCACAGCAACTGCTTATAACAGACTCAGCAAGTCGGATCATAAGTGGGAATGCGTTACGTGCAGCACGGATGCTGCAGTTTTGTTGAGTAATATCATTGTCCTACTGACAGGTCTGCAGAGTAAGTTGTCGGCAAACTTGGGAAAAGACAGTCAAAAAATGGGTAGAAAAACAAGAGAGAGCATTAAAAACGAAAACAGGGATGTCGACAGGTCTAACAACGACGGAGCAAGCAACAGCATTAATAATGACACGCTGAAACTCAGCACCATTATTACGACGACGGTACTGGACTCCCTCAGCAAACTCGGGTATCACAGCTCAAGGTTCTTGAACGCGACAGTGATTCCTAAAAATCTGTAGGTGATTGGACCCATGTCAAAAGAGCTAAAAGGGCCAGGTGTCACACTCTAAGTTGGACATCCCAGCTGTTGAACGGAAGTCAACTGGTGATCTGGTCGCACAGTCTACCCCCAAGATTGTCCGTCCAGTCATCAAAGAGCCAAGGATTCATAAACGTGCTTCGACTCCCAAAAGACAAGTTGCTAAGCCTGAACGCAGCGAAAAACCTGGGACGACAATAACGGTTCGTGACGACTCCCTCATAGTCATGAACTTCAAAGACAACCCTGACCTTCCTCTCAGTTTGCAGGACAAACATGATAGGATGCTCTGTGAAGAATTGAACAAGAAACTTGGACTTCCAAGAATAGAGCCTTTGACAGTCACACGGCTCAATAGGGGGAAGAAATCTAAGCATCGAAATCACCCGAGGCTATTTCCTGTAACACTTAAGAGTGCTACCGAAGTAAGGGATTTCCTACTAGCGAGTCATTTACTGAAGTTAGATGGGAATGTAAGAATACTGCCTGATATACCGTATTCTGAGCGCATTCTCATCCGGAACATCCCAAAAAAAACCACGACCAGTTTTTCCGCGGGAGAAATATAATCGTGCAAGGTATACCGGAAAATATTGACCCTATTCAATCAAACTCTGACATCAAGGAATGGAAACTCATCGAACAGTCCTTGAGGCTCACAAACATACTGACTCAGCATGTGACGAGACTGACCAAGAAGGATGGTGATTTTAGAATCCGTCTCATGAAGATAACTTTCCCATCTTCACACATGGCGGTCGCAACTCTAGAAGCATTTCGTGCCAACAGACGTCGACTGCCACCTGGAATCCACATGCACCCGGATAGGCCATACGAAGTTAGTACCAAACACAAAGGCAAGTTGGAGCTGACCATTCCACTTGTGAACTGTCTAGACGACAAAAAAACGTGTGAATTATTGGGCGTACCACCTCGGCAAACCTCATATAGGTGGTCTACCTGTCCATTCACGTAAGGCTCATACAGACAAACAGGAAGAAGCTCACGCGTTTCGAATCGAAAGCAAACTGATTATATATGAACGCCGCGAGTCTAACAAACAAACTGGATGTACTACGTGAACTTAGCAATGCTAATAAGCCCATCTGATAGGAATATCTGAGACCTGGATATCTTCTCAATTCTCGGACCATGAGTTATTATTACCTGGGATTTCTTTGTTCCGCAATGACAGAAAATCAGGACATGGGGACGGAGTAGCTGTTTACAAACATTCTTGCTTGAAAGTGCATCAAGTTCATAATCTCGAGTTTAACAATCTTGAGGAATCTATATGGTGCTCTGTAAGATTGTCCAGTACTTCGAGGTGTCTAGTTGGAGTCATTTACACGAAGCCAACTGCTAATATCGAGTACGAAAGTCGTATACTGGAAGGATTATCCCACTCCACTCGTCTCGGATTCACACACATCCTGATTCTAGGGGATTTTAATCTTACTAGAGTCAACTTCGCGGAACACACGTATACTGGAGGCGACAACTCAATTGAAGCTCGCTCCTTCAACCTTATCGATGACTTGGGATTGTGCGAAAATGTGAGGTCGGCAACTAGTTGGGGAAACAGTCAGACGCCATCGCACTTAGACTGTGTACTCACAAACGAAGAATTTTTAGTTGACAACCTCTGAATCTTTGCTCCCCTGGGAAAAAGTGATCATACCGTCATAGCCTTCAGTTTTGTCAGCAAAACTAAGCTAAGATACCCCACCAATGTCTCGCGTTGGAATTTTAAACGGTTGAATGTGCCATCTCTACACGACTATCTGCACCAAGTGGTTTGGGGTGTTCATCCCGAACTCGACGAGGACGAGCATTTGAACTTCTTACTACACACGCTCTTACGTGCTACAAACCATTCAGTTCCTCAAACGGTTCCCAAAAGCTGTAAGCCACCTACAATAATCAAGAACCGTACCCTTCGCCAGCTAAGCCGCAAAAAACACTGTTGGGCGGAATACAAACAAACTGACAACGACGGAGCGTACAGGCAATATAAACATATCAGGAACATATGCACGAAGGCTATAAGAGAAGAAAGGCTCCAGTACGAGATAAAGCTTATGGACAAATTTGCCTCTAATCCTAAAAGCTTATTCCGTTACGCAGCCTCTGTTCGTCAAGCCAAAACTGGAGTTTCCCAACTGCTAAGTCTTAACGACCAGACCTCAATCTTGGCAATGCCGCTTAGCATGATGTTCTCACACTCGCTAAGTCGAGGAAAACTGCCGGAAAATTGGAAGCTGGCTCACATCACATCAATTTTCAAAGGAGGTCGACGCAGCGAAACTTCAAGTTACCGACTGGTATCTCTTCTCTCCAAACCTTCAGAAATCATGGAGTAGTTGATATGTGATGGCATAAACGACTATCTACTGTCCTTAAATTTCTTCTCACCCCAACAACACGGTTTCAGGAAGGGTTACTCTTGTATTATCAGTCTGCTGACTGAGGTGGACAGATGAACAAGCACCATTGATCACAAGAGGAAGGTTGATATTATCTACCTAGATTTCTCAAAAGCTTTTGATAAGGTTAACCATACATGTTTTTTCAATAAGCTCAAACGATTGGGAATCAGACCACCTCTAATCGATAGGCTCACTTCATACCTGAAAAATTGACAGTTTAAGGTCAGGGTTAATTTCACTTTCTCTCAGGCTATGGAATGTCCTAGTGGGGTCTCCTAGACCCAGTACTAGAACCTCTTCTCTTCTTGATCTACATACATGATCTTCCTCGACAGGTAACGTCAGACTTATTACTTTTTGCCGACGACGTGAAACTTTGGAGAGATACGCAACCAAGACGATATACAGACACTTAAGGAGGATCTGACTTAACTTGAAAGTTGGGCAGACGATAACGGACTTAACCTTAACACTTCAAAGTTTAAAGTAGTCCATCTGCGACATATCGCAGACTACAGTTATAACTTAGGTAACTCCCTTCTAGTAGTATCTCAAGTCGATAAAGATTTAGGAGTCTCTTGCCGTACGATTTAAAGTCTTATGCTAACTGTGACAAAAATGCCTTCCGAGCAAACCTTGCACTGGTAACATTGAAGCGCATTTTTGGCCAGTTTGACGGAAGAACTTTCCATATAATCTTCAATAGTTATATCCGTCCACATTTAGAGTACAGAAACATAGTATTTCCTCCCTCACTCCAAAAGGATAAGGACACCCCGGAGCGTATTCAACGGCGAGCCACGAAATCAGTTCGACGACTCAAATTTAAACACTACGAAGAGCGCCTCCATTCACTTAACCTTTACACATTAGAGTATAGACGTCTTAGAGGTGACCGTCTGATGGCTTACAGTATCCTTAACACTTCTGGACATCCACTCAAACACCTACTCAAGCTTAGTTCCAACACTAACCTGAGGGGTAACACCCAAAAATCGGAGACACAACATAGCAGAACGGACTGTAGACACAACTTCTACTCCTTAAGAGTTGTCAAATGCTGGAATTCGCCGCCGGCCGAGCTAGTCCAAGCGACTTCTCAGGTGTCCTTTAAGAGGCAACTTTATCTATTCTTAAGGACTAAGGATAGTATCGAACTATGATTTATCAATTTCTTTTCCTGTTTTATTGTTAACGTACCTAGGTTCCTGGCTGGGAGATTTGGTGATCCCCTGCTACTAGACACGGAAGCTTGTTAAGCGAAAGCTTCTTCTATTCCGTCAACAACCATTTGAACCATTTAACGCGGGACACTCGCAGTGAGCGCAACTCCAATGACATTAGTTACTTTAGTGTCGAATAGTGAGTCATAAACAGCGTCTTGTTCCGATGGATGTTGATTTGTACGCGTACTTTGGCCTCAGAGATGATTGTACTGCAAAGGACATTCAGAGAGCGTATAAGAAGAAGGCAAGGGAGGCACATCCTGATAAAAATCAAGACAATCCGTTGGCAAGTATGTAATCATACCTAGTAATTATTTCCTTAGAGGAATCATTTCAGCAACTGGCTCTTTATTTTGAAATTCTGCACGATCCCGTTAAAAGGGTATGTTATAGTGATTTTATTCAACTTTTATTATTTTGAATCACTTATATCATTTCAGTTTTGAACTGTTCCAGAAATTCAAACTAATAATAATGGATAGCATTTTAGAATAAACAATTATTATTATTTTTGCTAAAACATGTTTGATGATATCATGGACACATCTTGTTCCTTGCTAATGTGTGTGTTGATAAACTATAGTTTATCAACACACACATTAGCCCCCCTACCTATAGGTAGGGGGGCTGTCGTAACTAGGTCGTTCGAATTATTAAATTGGGAATTCTATGTTGGCCTTTCTGGAAAACAATATCCTTCAGGTTTTAGGACATCATCATGGACTGGGGTTTATCTCAATATTCATTTTTTGTGTAAGTTCTACATTACTGAGGTGCATGTATCAGATATTAAAATTTAAACGTATAAGGTTCACAGTAATTGTGTTTTGTGCACCCGAAAGATAAAGAGGATGAAGTTTTATCCCTTTAAAAACAAAATGCTAAAGGTATATCCCAGTTATGACTAAGTGCGTACTGCATACCATCTGTGATACCCTATAAATGTTCAGCTTATATGGGAAAACTGAGTTCGATGTAGGCTAAAAGAGTCAATATCACTGTAACCCGAAGTCTTGACCCCAACGTTTGTGAACAAGCGCATGAATGCTTATTTTTATAATTTATCAAACCCGAAAGTATGAAAACTTGGTATTTAAAGATAAATTTATGTGTTAATCTCAGTCAGAAATTCCGGTCGTGCTAACTATATTACTCGGCTGTTCGGACAGCATTTTATTATGTATTATTGAGTATGAAGCTTAGTTTTCGGGATTTAGGTATTTAACTCATCACTTGAACAAAAAAACAATTGAATATATGGTTGTATATTTGTTGTGTAAATATAGTGTCTGAAGTTGGCAACCTTTAGCATGTAGTCAAACTTAGGGGACTGCACCCGGATCATCGCTCTCTATTATTCATAGCAGTAAGTTCTATTGGACCACAAAAGATGAGTAATATGCAAACTACAAGCGCTCCTATTTCATGAGATTAGTTCGTCTTGTTACACTTTCTTGTCGAGAAAAAGCCTGTATATCAATTGTAAATTTTGCTTTCGTCTTATCAGTAATGTTCTGGACAACACATTCCACTTCTTTGGGTAAGTATTCCCCATAAAGCAACAAGTTATATAGTATTTATCATGACTAGTCGTAAAACCGTTGAAAATTATGGTGCAGAAATCCTAATATCGATATGGTAGTCCGCTTTAAAATTCATAATAATGGCTTACTCTATTCCATTCAGGATCAAACTTAACGCCACGTTTGTTTACAGGATTTATACACCTTGTCAATTTGTTTGCTTTGGTATGTAAATCCAATACATGTATCACGTTTCTGTTGACGATAATCATTTCCATTGATTCATAAGGCTTTTTAATAGGGTATTTCTATATTTAATGTGATTTAGAAAGAATATGATCAGAAATGGAAAGCAAAAAGAGAGGCTATTAAAAGAATGGAATCTATGGACTGGTCACGAAGAAAGCTTAAAGAAGGTAAGTTATGAAGTCCTGTCCTCTTATTTTTATTGATATATTCGTGATACGTGCCGCCTATCTAAATTTTTCTGAATAGACTTATCTTGTAAAGTGTATATGAAGTAGTTACCAAAATGTTACTTCGCTAGTCATATAGCATGATAGATATTTCAAAGCAGTTGCGGCGAGACTATAACTTATGGACAAATCAATCAGATATAGGATAACTGGTCTTGGGTTTTGACTTGAAATTCAATAATCCATTTGGCTAGATAACCTTTTAGCATTTTAGCTGATGTCAGTTAGTGATGAAAACCCCAAATCTAATTCCCAACCCTAGCAATCAACTGTAAATAATAATCTTTATTCTTCCCATATCTTTCTTTCTACGAACTAATTCTCTCTTCCTGTACTATGTTCTTATATGCAATCTTTTACATATTACCACCACTGATTTAACTACTATGATTCCGGTGTTCATCTTGTTGTATTAATGAGGTATGGCAACTTGGGCCGATGCACATATGTGCCTGATCCTACGTTGTAGCTAACTGACTGATAACCCTCATTTAGTTCTAGTAAGTCACTTTAGTGTTGCTCAGAGGTTGTCCTTAAATTAAAGTCTCACCTCATTTGCTTTTTTACTTAAATGTATAAACAAGTATCCTCATATAATTCAGTTAGTAAAACACGATGAAAATTCTTTAACCTTAATGAGTTTATTTGTAATTGCGTTCGTTGTTTACTCTTCTAATTCGTTGGTGGAAAATTTTTGAATTTTCTGTTAGTGCGAAATAGTTTTCCTCACTTTGTAGCAATCAATGGCCTTTAGAACTGTTATAACAAAGGGTGAATCGAAAACTCCTTTAATGATTTCCTTATAGTAAGACGCGCATATTACTCCAGGCTACTCATTTTGAGTTCCCATCATATAGTACACTTGTGTATGACTTCGTTGCTGTCATATAATCAGAAGGAACGTTCAGTCAGATCCAATAGATGTTACGCATGTAGTTCCCGAGTTAGCTGTGGAGTTCGTTTGATTCATGAAGTAACCAAACTGAGTCATGAAAACTATCACTGTTTTCAGTTAGTTGTTAACTGATTCAGGTTTGTGTTAGGATGTGGAATTCTGCGTATCCATTAACTTTGTGTTAATTTTATCAACAGACTTTTTTGTTGCTGCTGATTCTTTTATCCCCAAGTTAACGTCTAATAGTAAAACAAATCAATATAGAGAAAAAGTGATATTTATAGATTTTATTGCTCAAAGCAGTTTTGATATACTGATTCAGTTATTTTTGTATACTGTGCTGAATACTAAAGTTTGTTATTTCGTACCTTACATAACTGTAATACGAAGTTGTTATATTTTAACGTAATTCTTATGTATACGAAATTTCCACATTTATTCTAAACTAAGAGCTAGAAGCGAGAGAAGCGGCTGCCATGGCTTTGCGGAAGAGGCAGTTTGAAACTGTAGCTAAACAACAAGCAGCCGACCAGATTCGCAGGGATTGGGAACGCCATACTGAAGAAATGAAGTGGCAAGCTGAAAGGAAACGAAAATCTTCAAATGAGGAAACTGACGATGTGAAGTTCAAATGCACTAAATCTGATCAGGCTGTGGTTAGAGTAAGTTTTAACCCATTTCTTGAACGTAATCGATAGATTTAATGCTAATATTAAACTACTAGATTTCGTCTTTATTCCCATAAACCTCCATTAATTTAGGATAATCTTCTTTCTGCTCCGTTTCTTTGATAGTCAAATCCTGGCACTTATACTGTGAAATCACGAATATGTGTACAACTCACCTCATGATAAAATAAGAAAGTTCTTTAGTAAGAATGATTTTTTTGAGAGCTTTCAGCTTGAATAGAACAGTTACACGTTGTGTAGTAGATATCTTAGTAATACCCTGTTTAAACTGACATCAGAAAGTGACGAGCAGTTTCATTTAAAACCGAAACGAACCTAATAATCTCATAATGAAAGTCCCGACCGTAGCTGTTATTTTTACGCGGTGGTCGGGATTACTCATCGTGATGAACAAACCGAGCTATATTGGCTGGAAAATATGTTCCTGTATGTTCTACCATGCAAGGCAGGTCGATTATAGAACTATAAGCAGCAACTCAAGGTCTGAGGGCGAAGTCGTACTGCTGACTGTAAAGGGGTGTTACAAAAGTAAAGTGTTTTTCTCGGACAACCAGCATCTGCAGCGATGCTGCCTTCTCACAAGGAAGGGAGGGGTTAGAAAAGGTTGACCCTAAAAATATCACGCCTTACCTTACCTCACGGATTTCCGTTTCCGGCGATAAAGCCCTTTCAAGAACGGAGCTAACACAGTAAAAACCTCCCACAAAAAGGTCGTACGCGACCGGCCTCACGCAGTTGTCCCTTGATCTCTGTGGTCACGCTCCCTGCACGTCAGGGCCAACGTTAACTCAAATTCCTCTTCAGGTTCCTCAAGAAATACCCTTCCACAGTGTGGGCAGCCGGGAAGTGACATCAGACCTCATACCACTAAGAACACACGAGACCAAGTTGGTCACATTCAAATCCTTCCTACACCTCCTAATACCTCTCTTATCTCCACAATTAACCCTTCTCACGTCTCTTTATCACCTCATACAGGCAGGGCAAACGATTCGAGTACGCGGAACGCTATTCCTGGTCTCTTGAAACCACGCTCTAAACTACACGTAGGAGCATTCAAAGTTCGAACACTGTGCCAAATAGGACAATAGGCTTCCTTAGCTAAGACTTTAGAATCTCGCGCCATCGATGTTTGCTGCGTCTCCGAAACGCGCATACAGGATCCGAGTAGCGTCATTCATTCGACCTCACCATGTCAAAATAAAGAACCAACTCGATTCACACTTCGTGTATGTGGTAGCTCAGATGCTGCTTCTGGTGGCCTCGCCGGCGTAGGTATAGCACTGAATCCTATGGCAGAACTAGCTCTCTTAGACTGGATCCCAGTAGACAGTCGTTTGTGCGCTGTCCGACTTAACGGAACAGTAAGGAATCGGAAAGATAGGGACACTCTTCGTCGTCTCTGCCTATCCTCCCACTGACTGCAGCTCAGGTGATGTAAAAGATGAGTTTTACAGAAGGCTTTCCGACCTTCTCCGAAAAGCTAGGCACTCTGGTGTAGTAATAGTGGCTGGTGACTTTGATGCTCAAGTAGGTAAACTAAGCGAAAGGGAAAGATACCTGGGTGGATCTTATAGTGTCGTGGCTCAAAAAACAGATAATGGCAACCGTCTGTTGCAGCTGTGCTCAGATAATCGCATGTTTCTTGCAAATACTAACTTTAAGCATAAGCAAAATCATCTTTTAACATGGAGACCCCCTAATTCGACCCAACGTTGGACCCAAATAGGTCACATCGCTATCAGCCACCGACGGAGGGGCTCGATAGAAGACTGTCGCTCATTCTGGAGCACATGCTTAGATTCAGATCATGCTCTAGTGCGAGCGCGTATTTACCTGCGTCTTGCTAGACGTAAGAAAGACGCTGCAAGGAAACCTCTTAGGGCCCTACTTAATGATAGTCAAGCTAAGAGTATATTTCAGGAACAACTAGAAAAACAGTTGGGCAGCCATGTATATGATGCCCACTCCGAGACAGCATGGAATGATATCGGATAAGCTGTGGAAACAGCAGTGATATCTGCTAGTACGGTAAACCACAAGGTTAGGGAGAAACACTGGGTCTCAGCAGCATCTATGGCACTGATAGATGCTCGGAAACTCATTCCACCTGGATCTGAACATAACGAAGAGCGGAGTCAGCTTAAGCGCAAGCTGACAAGAAGCCTACACAATAGTCATGAACAGTGGTGGGTAGCGAAAGCAAGAGAGGTAATAGCAGACAATTGTTCAGACTTGTTAAGAAAACCGGTATTAGGAACCCGACTGTTAGCGAAACAATCTCAGAGAAAGATGGGCATATTATACATTCTCAATCCAGGGGATTGGATCGATGGGCAGAACACTTTAGGGATCAGTTCAACTGGCGTTCAGCCACACTTCGGTTTCCCACGATCTCCAGTCAACCTGAATGGCAAGTTAATGTAGGTCCTCCGACTCTACGAAGTTGAAAAAGCTATAGGAAATCTGAAGCGAGGGAGAGCATCAGGCCCTGACAGGTTTACTCCTGAGATTTTTAAGGATGGTGGTCCAGTATTACAGTGAGATTGACTGAGGTCTTAGGTAGAATTTGGGAACTGGACGTAATCCCATCTGACTGGTCTCAATCACTGATTGTGCCAGTCTATAAGAAAGGACAAAAGTCCTCTTGTGACAATCATAGAGGAATCAGTTTGACTAATGTAGTATATAAAATATTAGCTTCAATAATACTTCGACGCCTAACCAAAGCTCGTGAAGAGCAGACCAGAGAAAACCAGGCTGGTTTTCGACCTGGACGTGGTTGTATAGACCAGATATTCACACTACGTCGGGTTCTAGAACACAGACACATATTCAGACACCCCACAATGGTAGTATTTCTCGACCTTAAGGCGGCATTTGACTCTGTTGATCGTAAGGTTCTATGGCAGTGTTTATCATTGAAAGGAGTACCAAAGAGGTACATTAACCTTGTAAAGGCTCTCTACTCGAACACAACTGGTCGAGTGAGAGCTTATGGCGACCTGTCATCAGAATTGATTACCTCAAGTGGTGTTTGTCAGGGCTGTCCACTCCCTCCATTCTTGTTTAACTATGTCGTTGATGTGCTTTTAGAGATAACACTTTGCTCATCTGACTTTCCAGGGGTTGAACTTCTACCGAGAGATTCACGTTTTGACCTAAAATATGACGATGACATAGTTCTATTCGGTGAAGACGCTGAGAAAATGCAGTCTTCTGACCACTCTAAGCAACAATGCAAGCATGTTCGGCATGCGGTTCTCCCCCTCGAAACACAAAATGTTGCTTCAGGACTTGGTTGCATCGACATCCGAACTAATTATAGGGAGTGAAGTAGTTGAGCGTGTCGACTGCTTCGCGTATCTTGGAAGTCTCATCAGCCCTTGTGGTCTGGTGTTTGATGAAATCTCAGCACGGATACAGAAGACTCGACTAACTTTTGCCAACTTGCATCATTTATGGCGTAGGCGAGATATCTGTCTATCTACCAAAGGACGTGTTCACTGCGCAACAGTTCGTTCCGTCGTACCTTATGGCAGTGAAACATGGCGGGTAAAAGTAGAGGATATTCGTAGGTTCCTAGTATTTGATCATAGGTGTCTTCGAAATATTGCTCGTATATCCTGGGACCATCGAGTAAGTAATGCGGTTGTTAGGGAACGGGTACCAGGTAAGGATGGCAAATTGATTGATGAAGTAGTGAAACTTCATCAGTTGAGATGGCTGGGACACGTGTTACGTATGCCCAACCACCGACTGCCTCGACATGCGATGTTCAATGGTGTAGGAGTAGGTTGGAAGAAAGCTAGGGGCGGCCAGACCAAAACATGGCACAAGTCGATGAAGTCACTGACAAGTGAACTGAGCCATATTGGTAGGTGTAGACTACCTGGTTGGGGACCGCGAGATGATAGCGACCGATGGTTAGAGACCCTGAATGACATGGCTCAGAATCGTTTGCAATGGCGCAGGTGCATCCACTCTTTGTGTTCTCCCAAATTATAATCTTCTGAATTGTTCATGTCCCTATTTTTCCTCTTTCGAAATTTATTTCACTGGATTATACTCCTTGAATAACATCTTCAAACCCTAATCTTTCTGATTACTGCTTATACTCTTACCACCTCTACTACTACGGGGTTTGAATCGACAACTGCATCTCTGTGCTAATGTGGTGTGGCAACTCGAACTGATGTACGTACGTACGAAGTTCTACGTTGTTACTGACTGATTGAATAATAGAAGTTAAGTATTGTCGATGATTATTTATTGCCAATGGACATTCATGATCATTGTTAATTATAGTAGTTCTGAAATCAATACATTGAAATCCATTACATTCTCAGAAATGTTAGTTATAGTGACTTATTTGTACCCTCAACATAGTATTAAAGGGAGTGAATTGTAAAGAGACGGAAAAGCATCATTATACAAACCGATTATGTAAAATAATCGAGAATGCTTTCATTACAAGCCTTCCTAAAGCCGCTAAACTAAATCCCCATCCGAAGAATGTAAATGCTTATTGCAAATGTAATTTGTATTTTTGAGAATATTTTTGATTTTGATCTTTATTTATTCGGTAATTTGTGGTTTTAAGACAAATTGGATAGAAGCACAGCGTGAACCAGTTATTTTCTCCTTTATTATGTTTTTATTTTGACCCAAATGAAACAAATACATTTTCAAACTATGATGCTTGATATGGTTTTAGTTCAAAATCACTTTGCTGTGTTTAGTATTGAGGACAAATATTGTGACTTTGAAGTATTGTTAAAAACAAATAAATTATTCGTACTTTCAGAAGTTATGATTTATTTATTGATTACTAACGTTTGCTGCAACCTCAAGTGTTGTCCGTCAAGGATGTCCACTTTCCCCATTTTTGTCTATCTTCGTCATAGATCTACTGATGGAAATAACTTTCTCGTCGGCTAAGTTCTCGGGTATTGATCTCCATCCAGGAGGTCCACTTATCGACTTAGAATACGCAGATGACATAGTCCTGTTTGGTGAAGACGCTGACAAAATGCAGAGCCTTCTGGTAGCATTGAGCAACAATTCCAGGATGTTTGGAATGCGCTTCTCTCCCTCTAAATGCAAGTTGTTGCTTCAGGACTGGTCTGCATTAACACCTGAACTAAGGATAGGGAGTGAAGTAGTCGAACGCGGTGACAGCTTCACTTATCTTGGAAATCTGATCAGCCCTAATGGGTTGGTATCGGACGAAATCTCAGCACGGATTCGAAAAGCTCGTTTGGCTTTTGCCAACTTACATCACCTGTGGCGAAGGCAGTCCGTTCTGTTTTAATTTACGGCAGCGAAACATGGCCATTAAGAGTAGAAGACACTCGTAAGCTATTAGTATTTGACCACAGATGCCTTAGAAATATTGCTGGCGTCTGCTGGGATAACCGGGTAAGTAATAGTGAGGTTAGACGCAGTGTATTAGGAAATGATGGTAAATCAGTTGATGAGGTTATGAATCTTCAAAGAGGTATGGCAACCTGGACCGATGCACATATGTGCCTGGTCCTACGTTGTAGCTGACTGACTGCTGAAAACCTCAGAATCCCAGCTATTAAATACTGACCAGCATAGTTCCTAAGCGAATGTAAAAACTGGTTATTTCAATATTTCTGAGTCCTTACTAATTGTGAGCACCGGTGAAATAAGTGTAATGTCTTAATAAACCAGTGAAAAATGGATAATGTAAGAAATTATGAAAATACAAGTCATTATGTGGTGTGAGCTACTTATATTCACATAAGTAGTATATTACGATAGTCAGGAATAGAATGTATTCCAGTAGAAGATCGAGAAATAAAGAACGGGAGCGGAAAGAAATTGGTATGGAAATGCAGAAACAATAAAATCCGAGACGATGAACTGATATTTGCGAATGAAACAGTCAAGTTTGAGACAATTGATTGATATTTTGCAAACTAGGTATTTACTGCATAGTTCTTAGATTTTAGAAAGATGTTCTATAATTTCGTGTTCAAATACATTTGATTATCACCATTTAGTTTCTTGTTCACTACACTAGTACTGAGTAATACAGATATGCAAACATTGCATAACCGTTGCAGTACATACGTATAAAACTAATATACTTGTTAAAGTTCGGTACGTTCAAAGTAGGGAGAAATTGTAATTTACTGCCTTAAAAAAAGCTTACGCATATGAAAATGTCCTCACTTTTATGATCTTGTTCACTAGTTACTTTTATTGTTGTTTTAAACAGATAAAATGGGCTTACGGAGAAAACTTTCAGGCCAACGCTTGCTATACAGAATCGTTCCTAAGAACATGTTTGTCAGAGGTATATTTAAAAAGTAATGAATATTGAAAAACCATCAGATGTCTGTTTGAATTCGTAAATTTCATTTTATGAGACTGGGAATTTCCAAAACAAAATTTACAACTCAGCTCCCGAAGGTGTTTAATTGTGTTAATTTTGTCTTGTACCGTTGTTGTATGGGAACTTGCTATGCATATATGTGCTAGGTTCTACGTTGCTTATGTTTGACTGAACGGTAGTTCATTGAAAAAGGACATGTATTAGACAACTATATATGGTCGCTTTCCCCATCTATTCAATTATCATTCTTTCTGGGGACTATTAATGTAGTAGAGTCAGTGAGCTTCGTCATACATTTCCATAATCAGAACCATCATCCTAACAGTTTCCTGCATATAAGGTTTAGCAGCAACGCAGTACATTACTTACATTCAACTTACCTATGCTACTTAGTATTTGGTAGTGAATTAGGCCCATTTGTATATGTAGATATTTTGTAGTTAGACTCTGCATATGATGAAATAGGTCCAAAAACTTTGTTTAGCATTAATGAGTTTTTAGGTATCATTACCAAGGTTTGATTTGATAATTTCGAAAAAATTAAGCATTGGGTAGATTGTTATAAATAAATAATATATTCGTAATACCCCAATGAGTAGAAAAACGAGATTTTCTGACGTTTCGTGACTTTGTGTAAGCCACTTCTTCAGAGAATAAATAACCAAATTTGGCTTACACTAAGTCACGAAACGTCAGAAAATCTAATTTTGCTACTCATTGGTATATTATAAATATATTAATTTATTTGTTCAGCATGTTGATTCGTATAAAATCTTTATTCATGAAAGTAAATACGATGCGTTACTTAATCAATACGCTACTCGTTTTTTGAATATTCTCTTCAAGAAAATCACATATAACACTTCCGAAATTTACTCAATACCTTACGCGTGTAATCGAATAAAGAAGTTGTTTCCTGCAAAATTCTTGTTAGTTTGCTTAGCAGCAACAAAAGGCAAGTGCAACCAAACAAGGATTTTGCCATATAGTAATTCAAACCATTTCCATCTGTGCGTAAGACACATACGTGCTGTATTTGATGCTGCATTTGTAATTGTTGAATCCAAACAATATTGTAACCGTTCACTCAAACTTAGGACAGTTAAGCAAATTTGTTTAAATTATTCTACTCTAAATATCTTAGAAAGCCAAATTTTAGTATAGCGAATATTTTCCTGTTTATCAATATACACATGTAGTATTTACTGTTGGACACTTAACTGTATTGTACACTATTCAATCAGCACATTTTACCACAAGATGATTGAGTATCCAAACTGGTTATTAAGTTTGAGAGATAGATGAAATACCTGTTAGTTAACTATTTACTTAAGTACTTTTAATTTGTTATTTGCAGTTCGGTGACGTGATAGCTTTCGTCATTGGTAAACGTGGCAGTGCCATTGCTGAGTTTTCCACCTACAATGAAGCAGTAAGTTGAGTTTTAAAGAAGTTTATTTATATTTGTTATTACGCTAAAAGATGGAATTGTTGTTATGATTAAGTGACTAGATCACCCTGTTATACACTTAATAATTGGTTCCTGTGTTCAAAGACATTGTGCCTTGATCGACCCGATAATAAAGTACTACAATTACTTCTCCGCCTGTAGCACTTTTAGGGTTACTACCGGTCTCATGCCCAAATAAAAAGGGAGGGTTGGTTATGGGGTCAGCAACCCCTTCCTAACAACCGCAGTGACAATTTATGTAAATACGTGGAAGCTCCGGACAATGTGAGAGGTAGAGAGAACCTTTCAAATAGTTACGGAGATGAGATGGTAGAAATTGGCCGTGCTCAGAATAATTGAAACCCATTGGACCTAAGCTGTACAGAGATTAGATTCGAGAGAGATGCTGTTGTGTTCTGATCACAAGGAGGAAAATGCTCAACACACTCAGGGAGTTGCACTGATGCTGTCCAAAGAAGCACATAGAGCACTTATAGGATGGAAATCTCATGGATTGAGGATCATCAAAGCACCCTTAAAGACAAAGAAGGAGGAAATCACAATGAATGTTATCCAATGCTGTGCAATCACCAATGATAGCAACGAAGGTGATAAATATCAGTTTTATGAGATGCTGCAATCAATCATATAGAAGTATCCTGATGGGAGACCTAAACGCCGAAATCGGAATGGAAAACACCGGATATGAAGATAACATGGACTGGAAGAAACGAATGAGAATGGTGAGTAGTTCGCAAATTTACGTGCATTCAACAAAATGACTATAGGTGGCACAATATTCCCCCACAAACGCACACACAGAGCTACATGAGTTTTACCAGTCCATACTTCAGAAAACCAGATCGATCACATTTACATGAGTAACAAATTCAAAAGATCCTTGAAGGACAAAAGAATAAAGAGAAGAGCTGACATAGTTTCAGATCATCACCTGGTTGTAGCCATGATAAAAACAAAGCTAAAAATGGACTGATCAACTCGAGGAAAAGCATTACATCCCATCTTCAAAATTCGTGTATGGAGGACAGCTAACAGACTCATTCCAAGTAAGGACCGAAGTCAGACAAGGCTGTTTACTCCCCCCTTTCTCTTTCTTCTGGTGGTTGACTGGATTATAGAGACTTTCACATCTGAGGGGAAGCACGGAATACGATGGACAGCTTGCATGCAATTAGACGACTTGGACTTCGAAGATGACCTGGCTCTTCTATCCCATACACAGCAACAAATGCAGGTGAAGACAGTCAGTGTAGCAGTAGCCTCTGCAACAGTAGGCTTCAACATACAAAAGGAAAAAGCAAGATCCTCAAATACAACACGGAGAACACCAACCCAATCACATTTGATGGTAAAACGTTCAGGTACCTGGACAGCATCACAGATGAACAAGGAGGATCTGATGCAGATGTAAAGGAGAGGGTCGAGATAGCAAGGGTCGCGCTCCTACAGTTGAAGAATATATAGAACTAAAAACAATTACCAACCAATATCAAAGTCAGAATCTCCAATACGAACGTCAGAACAGTCCCACTATACGAAGATGAAACTCGGAGAACTACTACGACCATAAACAAAAAAGTGCAAGTATTTATATATTATTGTCTACTCAAGATACTGAACATTTATTCACGTAAGTTTATTTCACCAATGTAATCTACGCTAAATCATTTCAATATTGCTTACGATTTTAAATTGTGTTTTTCGTTATAGAAAAAAGCCATAAAGGCATCTGAACGTGGGGCAGTTGGTCTTCCAAGTTTACCCCTTCAATTATCATGGTTGTCAACAAGTAATATAAATGTGGTTAGTGATTCAATTAACGTCAAAGATAAACAAGTGGAAAAAGATAAATTCATGTATGAACCAACTCCAAATAATAAGGTATGGTCGATTTCAATAACCCTTTATTTGGAGTAAGATTTTATGTTACACTTGTCTGTTATTCATATTAACAGAATGTATCAATGTACTGAGCACATTAAGCACCCAGTCAATTATGCCGATTTATACTAGTGTAGAAATGTTTTGTAATTAACAAGCAACAGAATAACAACCACATCGAAAGGCATAATAGTAAAGTAACTAGTAGTAATAGAAAACTATGCTTTGAATTGCGAATCAATAAAGAACAAAAATAAGAAGCATGTAGAATTCACGTGTTGTAGGTTGTTTGCGGAAATGGAATGTTTCCATAGGAAATCTAACGACACTATTTTGAATAAATAGACTTCATTAAGTGATGTAGAGAGATAATAACGTTCATAAGTTAAAATAGTATTTGTACGTATATTGAAATCTTCGCACGCATATTGAGTAGTTTAATACAGTCGTCAGTTTAAAGTAAAAGGAATCTTCTAGTATTATACGTAGATAAAGTGCAAATTATTTTAAACTGATGAGTTCTTCCAATGTATTCATTCAGTTATATGCTGATGAAATACAATCTAGTAAACGCATCGAATCATTGGTCGTCTTAGGTTGATTGTATTGTCTGTTTGTTTACGTACTGACATCTAACCATAGCAAGTAAGCGACTTAAATAGAGGTAGTGTGTGTAAAAATAATTAATAGTATGGTAAAGGGTGTCGTGAGAGAATGCTAAAGGAGAATTATGCTACGGGCTATTTAGGTGATCAGGGATTCTATCCCTGTAGATTTAGTAGGTCTTTCTTCTCAATATTCGAAGACAGTCGTACAACTGTAAGTTCTTCAATTAATATCTCTGATGTTTAGTTGTTCTTTGCACAAATCAATGGAGTGTATTAAAATCCGACAGTTTGATGTATTCAATTTCAAAGTGATCAATATTCTAGTCGTTGTGAATTAAAATATCACAATCCTGATTTTCACTAACTTTGTCAATTTGTTACGTCAGCAACGCAAATAAGTTACCTTAAATGTCAGATTCTCTGGACATATATCTTTCTAAATGATTTTTGTTCTGTAATACCAGATAGACTTTCCCGGTGTAAATCTGTTACTGAGTAGGTAAGGTACTAGTTACTTGTTATAAAATTTCATCTAGCTTTCATGATCAATCATTAAAACATGTGCGACGAAGTCTGTTAAGATAAATGTAGAGCAACAGAAGGAAGAATATTTAGTTGTCATAAACGTTCTAGTTAAGTATTACAATCCGTCATGGTATTTTTCTAGAGGTCCTAGTGAGTTAACGTTTGCGACAATTAGTATTCACAGTCCAACACTGACAGTTTGTTTAGCATAAATATTTCAATGATCCCGTTAGCTTACAAAAACTATTATTAAGGTACTCAAAAGTAATTTAGTTTTTGTTTCTTAAATGCAATATGAAGGTAGTTTTTCATGGGTAGAACAGTAAATTACAAGACATAATACTCATTTTCTAGAATTTGTCAGTATATATCGTTAACTTTGAACCCCGGTTCAAATGCACTATGAAACATCAGTTTTCTTAGAATTACAAGCACGCTCCGCTGCCGAGTATCAATTAGTACGATGCCTAGGTTCAGGGTTTCTTGCCAACTAAATTAAACCATCTAATATTAAGACATAGCTCATGCAGCGTTTATTTGCTAAGACTAGTGTCCAAATTAATATTCGATTGACAGAATACGATTATCACTACTCAGTGATCAGCTAATGTACGGTTGTTTGTAAGAAAAGATAAGTGCGCTTACATAAGTATCAGTTTCCATACTAACCTATATATCGCATATATTTTTTTTAATTTTAAGTCTAACTTTGAAACATTCGAACAAGACATCTTATCTCGTATGGCAAACTTTGGACAATAAAACTTGAAAAGACTATGTATAGGAAAAGAATCCGTCAGTAAGAATGTACAAAATGCTACTTTTTTATTGTGAATATACATGAAACCAAATTCAATAATTTTTTCTGCTGTACATAGAAATCCACAATAAAAATGATTTGAATTCGCCGTTTTTTCTGAATATAATCAATTAGTCGGGTATGTGGGTCAACAAATGATCGCTTATGGACTGAAAAAGTATAAAAAGTGTTTTAAGTTATGAAAGATGCAAATCGCTGATAAGAATTACTGTTCAGTAGTAATCTTTAGTCTAATTTATACAAATAAATTGCAAATTCAGTTTGTTAGAGTGTATCACGTATCGGTTATTCTATTCTAAAAACTCTTAAGTAATGAATAAATACAAAAAAGGCAGTAGGGTATCCATTTTTTTCATACTGCCTGAGGATAAGTAAATCTAGTAACACAAAACTGTGGTTATACCAAATTACAATGCTACTCGTTTTTATCGGTTTCACAACACATCAAGCGATGAATACAATAATAATTGCTGAAACAGTACAAAGCGTTGATTTATTCAGCCTTGCTTTTGACCTATTACCCTAAGAAAAACTAGATATAAGAGACGATGTAGTACGCCGAAATAGTTTTAATTAATCACTATGAAAAATTTGAAGTCTACCTAGAAAATGTTTTAGATACATTTATTCATGAAGTATCCCACTTTGTACCTAATGGAAATCAAAATATAACATCTTCAAGTAAAGTGCCAGTGATTTCACAGTGATATAATTAGTGCTGTTAGCGGTATAATTAGTAGGAAACATTTTTCTTCGAATGAGAATAAGTTGTATTCCTTTAAGAGCTACATTCCATGAGGATAGCAACAGTCGATATATTTATCAGGGGATGAATAGACTGATGAAAACTGACAGCACTGTCGATGTATCGAAACGACTATGATTGGAATTCGTAACTGTGTGACCGATTCATGGATTGAGGTTATAATTTATAAATGCAACTTGTATATTACAGTTTAGCTTACCTTCATAGTTTGTGTTTCAGTGAATCGAACCCTGCACCGACCCGAACTCCATCCACACATTACTGTTTTATTACTTTCAAATTTAAGGTGTTCATTAAGCACATGATTAATAAGGTCACGACGATCCATGAAGCCGATACCACAGTTTTCTCCATATTTTCTTCCGTACTGGAAATAGTTTTAAAAAGTAAACGTAAGAGTTTATGCTACATAAACAAAATTGGTCAGATTTCAGTTTTAATTTGAAAAAATAAAATATTCAGAAAAGAAAAAATCCAAAAGTATGAACAGAATTTCGGTGATATCAGCGAATAGAACGTATGAGCTTACTCAAAAATCGTGGTTAATGGGTTCGGATAATCTGGAAAGGAAAACTCATTCACAGCTTAGTCAAACAAAATCTTAACGCCTTAACTTTGTAAAAGTTGAAATAGTCAACTAATTTTTAAATAGATTCGAGAACTTTTGGAAAGAATAAAACATATGTGGGTTACTTTTCTAATAAACTTCAAATAACCACTAACCGCCATCAAAGGATAAAAAGCACGGTAGCCAAACTAGGAATTTCATGATCAGACATGTGTAAATAAGAGATATTTGAGCAATTTATCTCAACACAATTAGACCCAAATATAATTTGTTTATGGATAAACCCAAAGCAATCTTATACGTTTTAGTTAATGACTTTTTACTTCAGGTACCTACAAATCCCCACACTAAAGCTACATGTGTTCAAAAACAATTGATGCTTGTTACGTATCCACGACTCTAATACTTACGTTATTTCGCTATTCGTAATATGACAAATCCTGTTGTTTTCTTCATCTTATTTATCCTCAGATGTACTTGCCCTATTTTTGCATAACTTGGCATATGTGTGATCAGAATATGTGCATGTATTGAGTGATCACATTTTTCAGATGAAATAGGCCTTTTCAAATATAATTATAAAATTGTTGTGCAGGGAAAACAAAACGCTGATCACTTATACTCAGTTATAACAAATCACTTACTGAGCATAGTTTATGTCAAGTGAATGCAAGAATATTGTATATTATACAGAAGAAAATATCATTCTGGAAAAAACAATCAAATACTGCACTGAATGATCCTCATGTTAAATCAAAACAGATGTAATTTTGAATAAAACTCATAATCAATAATTCAATCCAAAATTGACTTTCCTTTCCATCATATCAAGCAATAATTGATCTACTGGGTATAACTCGGGTCCGAGCAAAAATGTAGGATTATTTTAAATCATAGTATTTCCAGCCATAAATGCACGGTCATTGATCGATTACCTAAATCACTTAGCCACTATACGACTGTAAAATACCTATCTATTGCTAGCCAATCGTATACTATGCAGGACTTAGTAAAAATAATGCGTTTGACTAGGTAGTTATACTATATCGCCACATTAAGAAGCCATTATGGGGGCGAAAACAGCGATGAAATAATACTAGTAGCAATGAGAGCGAAATGTAGAAAAAACATGAGAAGTAGGAAACAGCATTGAAACTAAGATTTAAAGGAGGTTAAATAATGTATTTTTGTGCAACTACAACCAACTTCGAAACAGATTGTTGAGCCACTAACTATTGATAACGATTATACTACGGACTCGGAACAAGAAGCGTAAAACGCACGATAATTCTTAAAAGAACATTTGATCACTTTATGAATATCGCCATTCTTAAACTTTTTAAATCTACCTCCGCAGTAGCTAGCATAGCGAACCCAATGTGTCTGTGAAGCATAAAAATTACTTATACAGCAGTATCGTTGTTTAGTAAAATAATGAAGATATTTTGTCAAAACTCACCAAGCAAACGTAATTTGAAGCTGGTTCATTGACTACGATAACAGTAACAGATCCATCTAAACTACCTGCGATTAGCTAAATACAGTAGAAAAAAAGTATGAGTAAAAGCAAGATGATGCTTACAACAAAGTGACATACCTCCTACATAAATAACTATTTGTTTTTTGAGATGGTGGAGAAGATTTGTAGCTCAGGTGGATGATTTTGGTGGAGTTTTGTTCTCTGAGCTGGATGGTTTGGTCGTGGAGCTTTCATCGTTCTTCTGAACAACATCATCAGCACAAACTTCAGATAGAAGTCTGAAAAACTATTTGTTTTAACTAAAGAACACGACCATGTGTCCACCATTACAATAAATATTGATGACAAACATGTATATTCTAATGATTAAAAACTGTAGAGTAGGTAGATATCTGTTATCTTCCATACGGAGGTATGACACATCAGTAGGTTAACATGACATGTGTAGCATTTTAACAAGCATCACAAGCGAATTACATGAACAATTTTTTTAACAAAATTGTTCAATTTTACAGATTTAGCCACCGATATATAACAATAATTTTATGTAAACCATTAACTACATCTGATTTGGAGTACAATCAAAGTTAGAAAGTTGCTAATAATAAGAGATCGCTAAAACCAAAGTAAGTTTGTGGGATCTTGAAGTCAGTGACTGAAAGTTGAGCGATTCAACCAATAAGCATTGCAATCAAAATAAGCATGTAGATTTCTTACAAATAACTTACAGTGTCTCCCACAGATGCAAGTGAAGTAACTGCTCCTCGAGTAGATATGAAGTAGACTTTTACTGGTCGTGTAACAGGCAATCCATTTGACTATAAATGAAATTGAGAATACAAGAAAAAAGGCCTAAAGTTAAAGGAATTACCAGATTGACGGAAAATGTTTTGCTTCATTTATAACCAATATATTTTGTGTATATTTCATCTTATTCCATCTACCAGTATTCCAAAAATACCACTTCACTTCTATCTGCTAACTTTTGATGATATACAACCTTAGTATGGAATTTAAAGTTTGCATTACACATCAGAATCGCTAACCTTTTCTGTGCTGTACCCATCAGAAACGAAGATGAATAAAGAAATCATGCGACCTATTCCTTATAAAAACAAAAATTAGACTCCACATTCTTAGTTAATAAAAATCAACGGAAATACACTTTCTAACACATAATGTTGAATATTAACAGCTGACCCGACCACATCCAGATATTTTTGTGGATAAAGTGTACTTTCAGCGTGTTCTGTGGGGTCGATTGAAAACAATAGTAAGTTTGATAGAGTGTATGAGAAGTACGTATGCTTTTCATATTGTTTCTAAATTTATTCTGCTTCTCAGTACCCCTAATTTTTGCTGTTGAATAGATTTCTGATTATAAAGAAGTAGAAATGGCTAGGCATATAAGCTTTGAAATATTAAATTAAAATAACACGCCAGCTATTAAAAAAATCAATCTTGGGTCTAGTTGAATGATTTTTCAATACATAAAATATTGCTACTCAGAGGATGAATATACTAATTCATGACCTTAATAAGTGGTGACATCATATGGAATGGTAGATCAAATATTTATACAACTGGTCACGTACAACTTATACCGTACACCTCTGTCATGCTACATTTGTAATTCATACTGAGCGAATGGTTAATAACATTTGATAGGTAAATCATAGGATAAAGACAGTGACGAAGTAACAGTGACTTCTATGAGATACAATATTGGGCTATAACTGTCAGCATACGATGAGTTACAAATATTATATTGATACTATTAGTGGATTCCAAGTGGGGGTGGTTGCCACTTCCGGCTGCCCACATCGCGAAAGAATATTTCTTCAGGTATCCAGGAAAGCAAGTAGATTAGTAATCGTAATGTCCTAAGAAGATGACCATGGGACTCAAGGGACAACTGTTTGAGGACGATCAAACACGACCTTTGCATGGGAAGCTCTTGATATGTTGGTTCCGTAATTCAAAAGGCCTTGCATCAGGAAACGGGAATCCATGGGGTAATAAGAGGTGTGACATGTTTAGGATCGACCCTTTGCAATCCTTCCATTCCGTTGAAAGAAGGCGGTATCGCTGTAGATGCTGATTGTCCGGAGGAAACACCTTACTGCCGTCGCGCCCCTTTGCATTCAGAAGCAAGATTTCGCCTTGACACTTTAAGTTGCTGCTTCTAATCTAACTGTTCTCCAATCCATCTATCTTAGTATCATGTTAGGACCTAAAGGAAAATGCGTTCTAGATAATGTAGCTCGGTTAA